AAATACTCTCATGGGCTCTTCAGCCATATCCGAATGCCTTAAGGGCTGATTCTGAGACCAGAGTGCTGTTTAGGACATCTGCCATTCTATGGGTCTGCTGTGTATCTCACTTCCCATGATGGATCGTTCTCTCCCTTTTTGATTCTATCAGCTAGTATTAGCAGACACTAGTCTTCTTTGTGTGATCCCTTTGACTCTTAGACCTATCAGTGTGATCAATTGTGAACTGAAATTGATCACTTGGACTAGTGAGATGGCATTGGTACATGCCACCTTGATGGGATTATATTGGGATCCCCTGGCATGATTCTAACTCCACCATTTGGGGCAAGTCCGATTGAGCATGTCCCAAATTGTACATCTCCTCCCTCTCTTATTCCCACTGTTATATTTAACAGGGATCACTTTTCAGTCAAAATTTAAAGTTTTAGGAGCATAGTGATACTGCCCACCCAACCCTCCCTCTCACCCATGCTCCCACACTCCATCCTCTTCCCTCTCCTATTTCCATTCCTAATTTTTACAATTACATGTTTTCAATTTACTTTATATTCATAAGATTAACTCTATGGTAAGTAAAGAGTTCAACAAATAGTATAAAATAAAAACACTGTTTCTCAATAATAGAGACAAAGACTGTAAACAACCATCAAATCTCAAAATGCCAATTCACTCCAATACACTACCTTTTAGGTACTCTATTACTTATCTCAGATCAGCGAAAACATATCTGTCTTTTTGAGAATGACTTATTTCACTAAGAACAATGGTTTCTAGTTGCATCCATTTTGTTGCAAAATACAGGATTTCGTTTTTTTTTTTTTTTTTTAAACTGCAGGGTGGTATCCCATAGTGTATATATACCATAATTTCTTTCTCCAGTCATCAGTTGGTGAACATCTAGATTGATTCCATATTTTAGCTATTGTGAATTGAGCTGCAGTAAACACGGATGTACAGATAAACTATTATTCTGCTGATTAAATTTTGTTTGAGTAAATTCCCTGGAGTGGGATTGCTGGGTCATGTGAACACCTATTTTCAGATTACTGATGTATCTCCAAACTGTCTTCCACAGATGTTGTACTTGTTTACATCCCCACCGACAGTGGATTTGGGTACCTTTTCCCCCACATCCTCACCAGCATTTATTGTTTGTTGATTCCTTTATGAAAGGCATTCTAACTGGGGTGAAGTGAAACCTCATTGTGGTTTTGGTTTGCATTTCCTTGATGGCTAGTGATCTTGAGCATTTTTTCATGTGTCTGTTGGCCATTGGAATTTTGTCTCTTGAAAAATGCCTGTTCAATTCCTTTGCCCATTTATTACAGGATTGTTTTTTGTTGTCGTTGAATTTCTTGAGCTCTTTATAGATCCTGGATATTAACCTTTTATCAGTTGCATAATTTGCAAATATTTTCTCCCATTCTGTCAGTTGCCTCTTCACTTTGCTGTGTTTCTTTTGCAGTGCAGAAGCTTCTCAGTTTGATGTAATCCCATTTGTCAATTTTGACTTTGATTGCCTGTGCTAATGGGGTCTTTTCCAAGAAGTCTTTCCCTATACCAATGTCTTGCAGAGTTTACCCACTGTTCTCTAGAATTTGATGGTATCATGTCATAGATTTAGGTCTTTGGTTCATTTTGAGTGGATTTTTCTGTAAGGTGTAAGATAGGGGTCTTTTTCATAGTCTGCATGCAGAGATCCAATTTTCCCAGCACCGTTTTTTAAAAATGTTGTGCTTGCTCCAGGGATTATTTTAGTTCATTTGTTAAAGATAAGTTGGTTGTAGATGCATGGATTGATTTCTGAGGCTTCAATTCTGTTCCATTGGTCTACATGTCTATTTTTTTGCTAGCACCAGTAAAGCAGTAAGTGCTTAAATTTGATGATCTCATTAAAATGATAAATGATAAAAGTGGAATTAAGTACTTTTGCTTATTTCATAGCAGAATCCTCTGAAATATGCTTATAAGAAATACACAAAAAATCTGTATCATATGTTTATTGAGATATTTAAATCACACCAATGTAGCAAAATTTTCTTTTAGATCATAAAATATGTACAATTAGTATGGCAGTTGTAGGCCATAGAGGAGTCATAATATTATGGAAAAATTTTCAAGGAAATATTATATATTAAAATTTTAAGTGCTGTCTCTTGATCCAAGAATAGATCTTTTGAATCTCCTTAAAGCTCTTTCATTTATTAGATTTGATGTTATGCATTGTGCTAATTCAATAAGAGCTACTCCAATATAGCAAAAATAGATAAGGAAATTTTCTGGTTGATATCTTGGATAGTTCACTTTAAGACATTACAGGGACCAGTTCCCTGGTGCAGTAGGTTAATCCTTGGCCTGCAGCAACGGCATCCCATATGGGCACCAGTTCTAGTCCTGGATGTCCCTCCTCCGATCTAGCTCTCTGCTGTGACCTGGGAAAGCAATAGAAGATGGCCCAAGTGCTTGGGCCCCTGCACTCACATGGGAGGCCAAGAAGAAGCACCTGGCTCCTGGCTTCAGATCAGCTTAGCTCTGGCCGTTGCAGCCATTTGGGGAGTGAACCAATGGAAGGAAGACCTTTCCCCCTGTCTGTCCCTCTCACTGTAACTCTACCTCTCAAATAAATAAATAAATAAAATATTTTTAAAAAAAGGACATTACAGAACTGCCAGATTCAAATATCCACCCTTAAGATATTTGAAAAACTGCTTTTATTCATATTTTATACAACCAGAAAACATTGTGTGTGTTCTAATCTCTCAGCATGAAACAATATATTTACACAGGGGCAATGAGCCAAATATGAATTGAAACACTTGACAAACAGTTCTTATACATTTTTTGGGGTGACGGAATCTTTTGAAAATCTAAAAAGCATGAACCTTTTCTCTTTTTTCCCAGATACTTAGTTCTGTTGTTTAAATGTGTGCCCTGGAGTTCCTGTGTTGGGAGCTTGATCCCCAGTGCAGCAATGGGAGCTGGGGGGCGGGGTGCTAAGTAGAGTGTAGAGTTGATTAAACCATAGCTGCCAAGGTAATGAGTTAGTGGGTTAGTCATACCAGGAATGGATCTTTATAAAAAGAATTTGGTATCTTTTTCTCCCTCCCTGCCCGTCTGCCTGTCAACCTTCCACCATGGGATGATGCATTATAAAGTTCATCTCCACATGCTGCCCCTTAGCCATGAACTCCCCATTCTCCAGAACTATGAGAAAATGACTTATTTCCTTTATAAATTACCTAGTCTCAGCTATTCTCATATAAAAGCACAAAAGGGATGAAGACTTTGTATATATACATATATGCAACGTTTTATAGTGATTGAACTTCCTGGTCTCCTGAGTACCATTTAGGAACTGTACAAAGGTTAGCTCAAAATTCCCTATTATTCCAATGGCCAGTGCCCCTGATATAACACTTATTGAATATTTCCAAGTTCGGCCCTCACTAAACACTGACTTCTTCATTATAGTAACATCAAATATTAAAATTCCACTTGTAATCTGTGATTATACTTAAAATTGAGGCAAGTTCTTTTGTCATAAACATCCTTTCGGTAATAGGCATAATTCAAAACCACTCTCTTTAGCCAATGTTTCAAACATTTTTTCTATAACCCCTTGTGAAATTCCCAAGTCCCAACATATTTTAGTATGAAATACTATAAAATAAATGGGAAACTTTTTTCTAAATACTTGTATCACAACCAAACTTTATTTTTGCTCTCATAAAGAACCAGGAAGCTCATATGATATGTTGAAGATCTGTGACAAAATACTTAATGCCTAAATATTAAATATTTAGCTTTAGGAAGTTTTAGGAATGACATCAACACTTGCAACCTGCAATGTGCAAAAGAGGTATATGATTTGGATCAAAACACTTTTGTCTTTTAATACTTTTAAATAAAGATTTAGAAAAGAGTTTGTTTCATAGTTAATCAACTTGATTGAGCCAGTAAGTGCCAGAAATTTGAGCAAACACAATTCAGAATTTCCCCATGAGGACATGTTTGCATGACATTAACATTGAAATCTGTAGACCCAGTAGAACAGATTGTCCTTCCTGATTGGAGAGCAGCACATTCAATCAATTACATACCTGAATGGAACAAAGACTGACCTTTCTTCAAATACGAAGGGATTCATCCTACCTGATGGGCTTTGGATTTGAACTGAAGCATTGGCTCTTCCTAAGCCTCAGGTCTGCTGACTTTCAGATAGGTACAACACCGTTGTCTCTCCTGGCCTCCAGCCTGCCAACCCACCCTGCAGACTTGGGACTTGTCAATCTCAATAATCTTGTGAGCCTCTTCCTTTTAGTAAATCTCCATATACACCTCATTAATTCTATTTCTCACGATAGCCCTCACTAAAACATATTTTGGTGCCATAAATAAGGTGCTGCTCTTATTTTTACCTCAAAATATGCAAGTGGCTTTAGAACTGGGTAGAATTGGAAGTTTTCAGATGCAAGTTAGAAAAGCCTAGATTGCCTTGAGAAGTTGGTAGAAATATGTATGTTAAAGATGCTTTTGGTGAAGCCTCAGATGGAAATGAGAAACATGTTTTTGGAGACTGAAAGACAATCCTTAGGAGGTGCTAGAGAACTTGGTTTGATTGTGTTTTAATGTTTTGTAAAATTTAGAGATTCTGAGCAAGGGTATGGGTTATTTGAGGGGATTTCTAAGCAAAATGTGAAAGATAAGGCCCATGTTCTTACTATCTACAAGCATAGTAAAATATGACAAAATGGAATGTAAATTTTGAAGCCCTTAACCTTCTGTGTGACTGCATTTCAAGATAATTCTTTTAACATTAAATGTTGTCATAAGGGTGGGATGGTATGTTTACAAAAAGAGGGAGAGATTCTCTCTCTCTTTCTTTCTCCACACACACAGAGTAGTAGCCATGTGAGGCCTAGTGAGAACACAGAAAGTAATCATGTGAACCTATCTTGACTAGAATTTTCATGACCCGATGTGTGTTTATTTTACAGGTTCTTCATCAACACTGTCCCCTCATATGGTCGTCTATGCTACCTTTACACCTCTCTATTTGTTTGAAAACAAGATCTTTTCATTACAGAAGATGGTAAGCTTTCATGAACAAAATGCAGCCACATTTAATCTGTGTGTAAGTGCAAAGACTTTTGTGGTAGGAAGTACACCAGAATTTAACTAAAATTACATGCCTGAATTCAGTTTCCATGCCTTTAAAATTTGGTGCTTGTCTTTCGCTACCTGCCAAATCCAAAATTATCTTCAGAGGTTACAATATTTCTATCCAATTATAGTTAGATTTTGTTTTTATAGTCTTTCTATTACCTAAAAGTGGAAAAGGTGTAGAATATATATATGTAAATGGAAAAATATAAATCATCCATTGATAGTGTTGACCTCCCCATAATTAGGCCACATATATTTTTTATGTTAAATTATTCAAATGAATTCACACTCAGGCTGGAGTACCACAGCATGACCTTCTATATATGATAAAATAAAACAAAATAAATAACAATTGCTTTCTTATAAATTTGATGAATTATTAATAACTCAGAAAACATAGTAGAAGGGAATAAAATTAAAGTATTCATAAACTCCTAGGCACAAACACTGCTAGTATTTCAGCATGATCCTTTCAATTTTTTTGTACTGCACATATTCTGTGTAAATCTATGTGCAACTTTTTTTTAACTTTTATTTAATGAATATAAATTTCCAAAGTATGACTTATGGATTACAATGGCTTCCCCCCCCATACCGTCCCTCCCACCCACAACCCTCCCCTTTCCCACTCCCTCTCCCCTTCCATTCACATCAAGATTCATTTTCGATTATCTTAATATACAGAAGATCAGCTTAGTATACATTAAGTAAGGATTTCAACAGTTTGCTCCCACACAGAAACATAAAGTGAAAAATAATAGATGATTTTTTTTAAATGATGATGAAATCAGAGCAGACCTATTGTCATGTTTAATCCCAGTGAGAGTCAAGTTGGGAATTGATAATTTCTTTTTTTTTTACAGAAGATCAGTTTAGTATGTATTAAGTAAAGATTTCAACAGTTTGCACCCCCATAGAAACACAAAGTGAAATATATTGTCTATGTGCAATTTTTAGAGTGGAATTATACATACATTCTGTATGGAAACCAGCTTTTTACTTTACAATATAATATTAGCATCTTCCCGTGGAGTTGTTCGTGTAATATTTAGTTGGCTACATAGTAATTATACATTTTCAATTTTTTGATCTATCTTTCACATTTATACATAAAAGTATTTTTTCCTCTTTTCTTATAGTAGTCTAGGGGTGTGTAACGTTTGATCTGTGGGCCATAAAAGGCCCCTAGAATCATTTGGTTTGGTCCTGCTAAACTCCTGCAGGCAGGAATTAAAATTCACTAAATTGATAGCAGGCTAATGTTTAAGTTGATAATTTTGTATGATCCATGAATTATAAGTTTCCAAATGGCTCTTGGCAACAACAAAAACAGTCATCACCACTGATAATCCATCAGGTTAGTATTCATTCTATTTAGACAAACATCCTGTGGCATTTGGGGCACATTGGATTATAATCATATTGGGACTTGAACCGCTTGCACTTTATGCTGGAATTCTGCGTGTTCTAAAGTCATTACATTAAAGAACAAGACTAGATAGTGCTATGATATAATAATGCATAACTGCTCCTTTTGGTTAGCTAAAAGAACTAAAATTTGAAACTTGAATAGAAATAAACTTGAAGAGTAATTTTTTCAGTTGAAGGATGATTAAACTTTACTACATGCGTTCCATTTGTCTTTAACTTACACTTGGGAGTCATAATGTTATCATTTGTCCCTTTTCCTTCTTCTCTAATTTCTCCTTTTTCCTTCTCTTTCCTAAATTGAAACCATCCCTTCCTACAAAAGAGTGATCCAACATGGGAAGTGAGATACTCAGCAGACTCATAGAATGGCAGATGTCCTAAATAGCACTCTGGCCTCAGAATCAGCCCTAAAGGCATTCGGAGCTGGCTGAAAAGCCCATGAGAGTATTTCAGGCATGGAAAGCCAAGACACTCTGGCAAAAGATCTCTGTGAGTGAGATCCCAGTGGAAAGAACAGGTCTTCAAAGAAGGAGGTACCTTTCTCTGAAGGGAGGAGAGAACCTCCACTTTGACTATGACCTTGTCTAAACAAGATAAGAATCGGAGAACTCAGAGGGCTTCCATAGCCTTGGAAACTCATGACTGGAGCATAGGGAGATTACTGATGCCATAGACAAGAGTGTCAATTTGTTAAGTCAACAACAGGAGTCACTGTGCACTTACTCCTCATGTAGGATCTCTGTCCTTAATGTGCTGTGCATTGAGATTTAATGCTATAACGAGTACTCAAACAATATATTTCACTTTGTGTTTCTATGGGGGTGCAAACTGTTGAAATCTTTACTTAATGCATACTAAACTGATCTTCTGTAAAAAAAAAAAAGAAGAAGAAGAAATGATCAATTCCCAACTTGACTCTCACTGGGATTAAACATGACAATAGGTCTGCTCTGATTTCATCATCATTTAAAAAAAAATCATCTATTATTTCTCACTTTATGTTTCTGTGTGGGAGCAAACTGTTGAAATCCTTACTTAATGTATACTAAGCTGATCTTCTGTATATTAAGATAATCGAAAATGAATCTTGATGTGAATGGAAGGGGAGAGGGAGTGGGAAAGGGGAGGGTTGTGGGTGGGAGGGACGGTATGGGGGGGAAGCCATTGTAATCCATAAGTCATACTTTGGAAATTTATATTCATTAAATAAAAGTTAAAAAAAAGAATAGAGCTGCAATAAAAAAATATCTGATCTATAATTGTGGTAGCATTGTAAAGGTAATAGGACTTAATGTGACATCATGAATGTAGGGACAGTGGCACTTTCTCTGTTTTTAATCCAGAGTTAGAGATCCTTGTTTAAATTGTAGCAATTAGCCATTAAGTTGGCCCTTCAAATGAGTGGCATGCAAAACACAAAGTGTACTTTCAAGGATTCTCTCATGCCAAGCTTCTGGTCAAGACTAGAGCTGGCCATGTGACACCTGACTTGTGTTTATCCTCTTTAGAAGCCATTGGTTTAAGTTCTCTTTCAGATATGTTAGAGAATAAAAGCTCTCACCTCTTAGATTATTAAAACACTCTAGTCTTGCTTTGTGGAGTGCCGTGGCCTCATGTCTGAGTAATACCTCATGTTTGAGAAATACTCAAACTCCTTTTGAAGCTGCAAATTGTACACATAATATGAAAAGATTTGTAAAAAACAGCAGTTCTTGAAATTTTTCTGTTGCTGCTAAGAAATTAAGACTTAAAAACAAAATTAGTTTGAATTCAAAAAACCAAAAAAAATACAGACTGAAAGTTTGTATTTGTTTATTTGTTAATTCAACATATATTTATTAAATATATATTACATGCTAAACAATATGCTATGATTTGAGGAAACAATAATAAGCATGATAGTAAGTTCTTTCCTCTCAAAGCTTAGCATCTGATGAGGAAAACTGACAATTATGTCAACAATAACACAATTAGGAAATTGTTATAATGGAAGGCGTACAAGGTGTCTGTCATGTAGTAGGTACTTAACATAACAGCTGGAGGAATGACCAAATGGGCCTAGGAATGAATGTGTGAAAACACGGAATCACATCATCTTTTCTAATGAGTGGCTGGGGAAGTCTTTGCAAAGAAGAACTATTTAAGCAGAGACCTTAAAAAGTTCTGTGAGTAAATAGAAAAAAAAATTGGTCAAAACTTAGGGAATGTCATGTTGAAAAGTCTGGAAGTAAGCAAGATCCCACCGGCTTTAGTGACATACCAGATATTGAACAGATTGTAATAGGAAAATCTGCTAGAGGTGTGGGTAAAATCATAATAATAAGATCATCACCCTAAGTTCTCCCTTTGGAGGTTAACAATGATGTGCATTGCCCTGAGATTCTCGAGTTATCCCAGTCTGTGACAGTAATTAAGTGAAGTTCAAGGCTGTATCAACTGAAGTGTCATGGTGCCCTTATCTTGCTTTCTGATTTTTCTAGGTTAGCTGGCTAGGAGAGTCATCTGGTTTCCCTAGTAGCTATCAGAATACAGTAGAGATACAACATTTTTGACAAAATTCCTCTAGGAAGCAATGATTGGCCGTAATGAAATTTTGTGAAATAGAGCACACTGCTAAAAGTTATAGCCCCAGAGACAATGAGATCAACATGTAAAATGAAATCAATAACTTAAAGTTATTTAAGGAAATAGAAATACAACTGAAGCAAGAATAAAGCTCGGGAAGTAGCAAGATGACATGAATTGCCTGGCGCCCCCCTCTTGGGAATTCTAAATGGCTTTAGTTTTATTTAGATGGATGATCTGGGCATTTTAGAAAAGATACTCTGCTAGGCAAACCCCTACCCCTGGTTCTTATGAGTGAATCTTAAGAAAGAAATTTTTTTTTTTTTTTTTGGCAAGGCAGAGTTAGACAGTGAGAGAAACAGAGAGAGAGAGTTATAGACAGTGAGAGAAAGACAGAGAGAAAGGTCTTCCTTCCGTTGGTTCACTCCGCTAATGGCTGCTATGGCCAGCGCTGCGCCCATCAGAAGCCAGGAGCCGGATGCTTCCTCCCAGTCTCCCATGTGGGTGCATGGACCCAAGCACTTAGGCCATCTTCCGCTGCCCTCCCAGGCTACAGCAGAGAGCTGTACTGGAAGAGGAGCAACCGGGACAGAATCCGGCGCCCCCACTGGGACTAGAACCTGGGGTGCCAGCGCCACAGGCGGAGGATTAGCCAAGTGAGCCACGACGCCAGCCGAGAAAGAAAATTTCTAATTTGAGTTTTATTCAGGAATTACTCAACATATATAAACTGAGTGCCTACTCAGTGTCTAAATCACTATGCTAAATCCCTCTCTGCCTCTAATTGTAACCTAAAGGACTCTGAGTTTCTTTAAGAAAATTTCTTAATATCAAACTAGAATTATTATTACCAGCACTACTTTATCTGACTCCGAAGTGCTGTGTAGTATGATCAAGCTAAATGAACTGGCAGTAGTCATTGTGATACAG